GCCCACTACATTTATGAAAATTATAAAGAAATTTCATAAGAATTTTCACATTCTTGATAGCACCATTAGTAAATAAGATGAAATCATCAGCAAAACTTAAATGGAAAATATTGAAACCTCTTTTCTTGTAAAATCTAAGGTGAACATTCTTAGCAAAAAGATCTTCCAAACCTCTCGATAAATATTCCATAGCTATAATGAAAAGAGCAGGAGAGATAGTATCACCTTGGCGAAGTCCTTTCGAAGATTTGAAAAAACCATGATTTCTACCATTGATAATAACAGAAAAGAAACAATTCTCCACACTGTTTTTAATTAACATAATGAAATTTTGATTAAAACCAAACAAAGACAACACCTTATACAGAAAATTTCAGTCCAGATTGTCATAGGCTTTAGTAATATCTAATTTAAAAATGGTGTTACCCCCCGTAATTTTATTGTTTATCTCATGAACCATTTCTTGCGCCAGTAAAACATTATCACTAATACTCCTACCTTTAACAAAACTCGTTTGATTCAAGGAAATAATTCTAGGTAAAATATTAGCTAACCTATTAGCAATAATTTTAGAATTCAGTTTATTGAAAAAAGTGCATAGGCTAATCGGTCTAAAATCCTTCCACGCATTGGCCCCCTCCTTTTTAGGAATAAGAACAATATTAGCAGAAGAAAAGAACTTCAGATAGGGAGTACCTTCAAAGAAATCTTTGACAGCATTAACAACATCCTCTTTCACAATATCCCACGATTTTTGGAAAAACTTGGTAGTAAAACCATCAAGACCCGCCGTAGAATCCCCATTCATATCCTTAATAACATTAAAAATTTCAATTTCCGTTGGTAATTGGCAAAGAAAACAGTTCTCCTCCTCATTAATCAACTTAGGAATAATCGAAGGATTAGTTAAAGGAATAATATCAGACTGATTATTAAACATATTCACAAAAAACACCCCAGACTTACAAATAAGCTCATCCGTTTCCAACAAATTACCACCATTGTTCAAAATTTTATGTATTTTACTCTTCGTCTTATTCTTATTAGCAATTGCATGAAAAAACTTAGTATTTCTATCTCCCTCAATTAAAAATTTGGAATTGGATTTTTGTTTCCAAAATTCTTCTTCCTGACATTGTAATTGTGTTAACACACTTTTAGCAGAGTTTAAATAACAATTATTGCTTTCAGTAGGATTATACATATAAACCCCTTCCAACTCAGACACTTTGGACTCAGCTTCAGTAATATTAGAAAAAAGATTTTTACAAACATATTTATTCTAGTATCTCAGACATTGTTTCAATCTAGACAATTTGGCCCACAATCTTAACATACCAGTAATGTTATTATCTGGAAAAACAGTCGCCTTCCAATTCATCTCAACCACATAATTAAAATTATCATGCATCATCTATATATTAAGAAATCTAAAAGCAAAGGAACCGATCTGATTTTTAGCATTAATATTTAAAAGGAGAGGGACATGATCAGATAGCGTTCTACTCAAATGTGTAATGTTACAAGAAGAGAATTGACATAACCATTCGTTGTTAAAAAGAAATCTATCCAAGCGTTGATAAAGATTTTCTCTACACCAGGTAAAAGGACTACCACAAAAACCAATATCGTTAAGATTACAAACATTAATCATGTCATTAAATTCTTCCATAGCTCTACTATTAGGCCGGCAACCCCCCCCCCCCCCCCCCCCCCCCCCCCCCCCACCCCCCCTTCTTTCAGTAGCATTGGCAATAATGTTAAAATCCCCTCCTACGCACCAAGGAGCATTAATATTAGAAGAAAAATTATGAAGTTGCTCCCACAAATTAATCCGTTGAACTCTCATACACGCAGCATACACAAAAGAGGTAAAACAATCAACATTACAGACATTTATATGGCAATGAATCGCTTGATGAAAATCAGCAACAATCTGTAATGAAATATTGCTATTCCACAATAACCAGATTATATTGGAGCAATTAGCAAAATGCATAGGAAAATCCAAAAATTTAGCCACATTAGCCAGTTTATCTGAATTAATCAAAGGTTCACTTAAAATAAGCAATTGAATATTATAGATCCTACACAGATTCTTAACTCTGAGTTTAGAATCCTTGCCCCCAATACCCCTAATATTCCACATTAGAGCTTTAATCATTAATATTTTTTGAGTACGTATTAGCTCTGGTGGATCTAGGGGTAGCAGGACAGCTGTTTTTCTATTGTTTACCTTTTTTCTTCCCTGCTTTCGAAACCCAATCATCCCTTTTAGAAACATTTAATTCCGGAGAAGAGGTAGACGTACCTTGAATATTCATAAGAGAGGTAACAACCTTAGAAGGAGGAATAAACTCACCTTCTTCATCAGATTCAACATAATTATCCACATCATTTCCCGCTACATTACCCTTGTCCTGTTTGGCAATCAAAGAATTCTCAATAGCAACAGAGTTAGACATAATAGGCAAATTATTAAACATATCATCTACCATTATATAAAGCTTAGGGTTAGAAGAAGCAACAATATTAGAATCTTGAATCTTAAGAATCTTTTTAGAGTTGCCAGGCTCAGATGTTGTATCATTTAAAACAACCTTTTCATAAACATCTTCAACCATATTACCTCCATTCTGAACAACCATTTCCTCATTAACATTTTGAATAGCTGTAGGCGATTCCACCTGAATCACATTATCACTTCCATTGCTTTCCACTCTTGGCACATAAATTTTATTATTCTCGGTATTATCAGGTCTACCGCCATTTTGCCCAACATTTTTTTTTTTAAATCCGGATGTAATTTGAAATAGTCATTGTGCGCATGACCATGGATTTTACAATGAGTGCAAAATTCAGGCACTTTCTCAAATTCCGCTTTTTGCATGTAACCGTAAGCTTTCGATCCTACCCAAATTTCAGTAGGATGTTTTTTTCGAAATATCAACTTCCACAAGCACTCTCGCAACAGACGGGCGAGTTTTAGATGCTGTCGCCTGATCAGTTTGGAGAGGTCTCCCGAAAATAGAACCCAATGCATGCAGAACTTTAGAATTAAAAAAATGCAATCTTAGATTTGGGAAAGAGATCCAAATCGGAACAATCGGAGAATCTTCCTTAATGTCAAAAAAAGGTGTCCATTTCAAAACCCTCATCTGACAATTATGAATAAAATACGAACGTCTCGCAAAGACACGACTATAGTCTAAATCATTCGATAATTGAATAGCAACATGCCTACTATCCAGTAAACCAACCGAAAAAAATCCAGAAAGTTTTAACGAAGAGAAAAAGTTTCGAATACCATCTAGGTTAGGACGACGTAAATAAAATTTTCCGACCAAAGTAAATTTAAACGGGGATGCCAACTTAAGGACCTCCTCATCAGATAAAAGCACAGCCGGAACACCATTAAAAACTGATTGTTGAACATTTGGAAAAATATCACTTGAAGAGGAAGCACCGGCTAAAACCTCTTTGAAAGATCTAGATCTAGCAGGATTAGTAGATCCCTCAGCATCCAACTCGAAAAAGCCTTTATTCTTAACAAAAGACGGCTCCGAAGCTTTCCCCCTAGGATTAGCTGGAGGTGCAGTAGCCGCCATGAGAACAGGGCCCCAGAGGGCACAACGCACCCTAAAATCGCTCCAACCACAACCAACAAACGAACCACTGCAACACGAGAGAAAAGAAGAGCCGATCAGAAGCGGAGAAGACGATCGCTCGAGAAAACCCTAAAACGCCAGAGCGGAGCTCGAGGAAGAGGAGAGGTAGGAATGGAACTCTTAGAGCTTTAATTTTTACCTTAAATAAGCATCAACTCATAGATTGATTCCACAAAGATATATTATGAAGTTCATTCTTCACCTAAATAACATGAGAATGATTAGAAAATTGAAACATACTTTCAATAGTATCCTAGATTTTAGAGCATGAGTTTTAGATTCAAAACACAAGGTAGCAAAGAAAGAAGCAAAAATAGTAGAAAAATAAAGCTGCAATAAGATTTTGATCACTGACTCTGAGCATCCATGTGGAATATTATAATTTTTTAGAAATTTGACTGGTTTCCGGTAACAAGGTGTTTTTGTGGGCTAGAAGTCGAATCATCCAAGAATCCTTCAAAGCCATTTGCCTTGATAAGTTTGATAATGTTTTTAAAGCCAAGTGGGATCATTATCAGCAAGAAGATGTGTTTGAACGTGGCTTTTGATGTTGGACATGTGAAATTTAAGCTAAGAAGGGATGTACGTGTATCTCATGTATTTTGAAAACAGAGATTGAATCAGCGGTTGGGAAGTTCATGGAGAAAACTGGCGAGTTAACCATGAAAACAAGAAACGATAAGACATATTCCAGACAGAGATTAGAAAAGATGGACGTATAATAGGCCATGCAAAAGTGGTGAAACAGTTCCTGTAATACAATATTGAAATACACAAGCACATGCATAGTATAAACAAAAAGCGAAATAATAGAAACAAAAAGGAACTTAATCTCTTCTATTCAATTAGTATTATGGGTTATATTTTGCAGGCATAAACTGCTCTGCACAGTGAACATATTATATAGAAAAATACAGAACATGTCAGCATCGTGCATGCACGCAGCAACTGTAAAGAAAATAGCACCCTGCAGAATTTGTTATAATGGAGTTGAGTTGTTATCAATAGATGATGAAGATAGAATTGCATATGAAGCGGCAGAAAATAATTATTTTGATTACATAACAGCATATGGATATCATCTATCGGAAATTACCACAATCTCATTTACGCATTTTGCTGCAGTTGTCAGTAACGCTCACCCCATATAAACTTATAAAGCACAATGATAATAGAGCTATGAATGGTTAATTAGTTGATAGTTCAATCTATATATTTATCAAGTACAATATGTATCGCTGAGCCTCAACTATAGGAAGTTCTCCCCCATGGCATCCTTAATACTGCCAAGGCACCGACGACTCATCAAATTCTGCGACGAGAAAAAATCTCTCACTTACAAAAAATATCAACACTTTGCTTCTTCGCTTTCTTTCTGTTAGCACACTTGAGCCATCCAATATACGCGTTAAGATCATGCACGCATGCAGGGTTCTTCATCTTAAAGAAATCAAGTGCTAATTCAACTCCCACGTGCGCGTAGCACGAGCAGCTGCTTATCCATGGAAGCTCTAGTTTTTCATTGAAGAATACACCAGGCATTTTCGTCACAGGGTCATTTACGTTCACCACCCTCAACACCTTCACCCCTAGCTCCTCGCACCGGGTTCTGAAGCCCCAGTTCCCGACCCGCGGGCCACCGTACGAGTAAACCGTGATGGGTACTTCACGACCTGACTTGGTATTGTTCAGACCCAGCTCCGCAATGTCATATCCGAGCAGCAGCGCGAGCGAGCTCCCCATGCTGTGACCCGCCAATGTAATGCTCACTTCCTTCTCATCTTTGTATTTGGATACAATCCTAGATATCTCGGAGAGGAGCTGCTGGCGGCAGCTCCCGCTGTTGAAGCGACAGGTGCTATCGTCGGATGTGTAGAGGCTGAGGAAGCCTGACTCGACCTTGACATCGGGCCGCGGATTGTGCGGGTCAAGCCGGGCAGGGGTGAGGCAACTCATTAAGTTTGTGATCCACTCCATGTTAGTGACGGTTCCGCGGAAGGAAACGAGGATGTCTCGGCGGCCGAGACGGGACGATGCATCGTCGGCGGAGACTGCGACGTAGCCGATCCAGCGGCTGCCGCGGGTGCCGAACTGGCTGGGGATGGTGATATCCGGAGTGGCATAGATGTATTTGGTGATTTTGTAACCTGCTGAGGGCATGCCTACATCGCAGAGCATTGTGGATTTGCCATGCTTACAGTTTAGGTAGCGTTTGGAAGTAGGATCGAGGTCGAAGGCTTTGTAGCAGGCATTGACGAGTTCGGCGTAGCGGACGATTTCACGACCGAGGAGAGGGTGGAGGGGTTGGATGAGGTGTTCCCAGTTGTTGCGGCCCTGGATGTCACGCCACCGTGTGGCGACTTCTAGCGGCAGCGAAGGGGATGGATTCGGGTCAGTGGCGATCGCTTCGTGGGACCTGGCAGCGCAGGTTACGATAAGCGGGCGTGTGCGACGCAGTGCCCGGCTGCGGCCTGAGAAGAAAGAGGGGTAAGGCAAAGCAATGCCTGCGGACATGATAGTTTGCTTAAACTTTTTCTTTTTTAAGGTTTAGGGTATCTTGTATTGTTTTAGGGTTTAGGTCAATTGGCAATGAAGGATAAGAGCAGGAGAGAGGAGAGTGAGAGGGAATGGGTAATGGAGGCGCGCGCCTAAATGAGCTGATTTGGATGTGTGGTGGGGATCACAGCATATTGAGAGCATGAAAAGTGAGGGTTTGACTCTACATTTTGAGAATGATGTTGTGCAATAGTGATATGCTTCTTCAACATTGCTTTGGCCAGTTCGGGAATTGCGTTTTTTGCATTGGGTATAAATGGTCGGTCGCGCTTATTATAACTTAATAGGGAGTACGGCCGGTGCAGTTGAATTTATTATATTATTATTTTATTCATATTTTTTTTATAAATTTCCCTCAAAAAAACTTTTTTTTTTTTCTGAACTAACGGGCACGCAATTAAATCTAAAAGTTAAAACTATACGATTTATATAATCTGATAGGTTCTACGAAAATATGTACTTTTATTAGATCTGATGTTAAAAGATTTAAATATCTGAGTTTTTTTTTAAGAACATTTAGATCAATTAAAATAAATTCATACATATATCACATATGTCAGATTCAAACATAAAATATCTTAGTTGATAGTTAAAACTTTCAACCAACAGATCAAGATGTGCTGCATCTAAGTTAACTTTGAAGCAGTTAAAGAATAGTATCCTTAGACACACACATCGAAGTTATGGAGATTCTCTATCACAGGGATGAACACGGTTTGACTAAGGCGGGTTTGAAATTTCTACAAAATAGGTTTATGAAACATGTGGGACATGTAGCGCCGATTAAAATTTTGAAAGCTAGATATGCTGAAATTGGAGGCCGTAAAGATGAGTTGTTTGTGATGATTGTGAATAACCCAACAATTGATATAGATCACTGTATTCTTTATCGTAAATGATATCCTACGGCTGATGAATTCATCTTTCGAACATATGACTATCTAATTTTTTTGCCAAATAGAAAGTGGAAGGAGTTTCTTAATGTATCGGACAGGCAATGCGTCCAGCATTGATTTGGGCAAAAAATCAATTGTTGTCCACTTTAATCCCAACTCCAAGCTCGTATATGCATTGTCATCAAGAATTGTTGAAGCCTTTTTTTTTTTTTTTTTGAACTTTCTTAAGTGTGTGATGGTTAGCTTGTTTGAATGTAGTTTGTGCATGTTATCGTCTATGTTATTAAATTTTATAGATCCATATGTTCTAGTATGTGTGAATGTGGTTTTCAATAGAATGTTCTTATTGTTGTTGGAATGTTGCTTCTTCATAAATTTTCATCTTTTCCTTTTATCTAAATTTTTGGCACTTTTTCAAATCCAAGAAAATAATATTACGAAAGAAAATTAAATTACATAAATTATACTCTTATTTTGAAAAAAAACAAATGTTAAAAAAAGTAAATCCAAGCAAAATGCTAATTATTTTAAATCATTAAATATTTTGTAAAAAATAATTTCTCGAAAAATCATTAAATCCAAGAAAAATGCTAATTATTCTAAATTGATTAAGTTTCATTTTTTAAAAAAAAATTGAATGCGTAAATATATATATTACTACATAATTTTAATTAAAAAAACTTAATCTATTTCAAAGTTTAAATTTCTTACATCTAACTAAATTATTAATTTATATTGATATGTCATCAAAAAATTATCTTGATGGATCACGAATCTCGACACAAAATCAAGCCGAAAACTTCAAAAATTAAATTTGGGATCATTTGAATTCCGATTTCAGTAAACTTATAGTCAAATTAAACGTCTCAAAAATACAAACTTAAGGACACCAAATTCAACTCAATCCGAGTCCAAATGAGTCCAAATCAAGTACCTGAAGCGCTATTGAAAAGTTCAAACCGCAAATTATGTTTCCAAACAGTTTCCAAACATGACGTGCTTATAGTCAAATCGAGCGACTCGACGAGACAAATCCAACGAGCCCAAGATCACCGAATTCCAACATCATTAAGACCTTCAAATGTCTAAAGAACAGTGCACAACCAAGTGAAACCACTCCCGATTCGCCCCTGATCTCTTACTTATTTATAGGTCATGCCACTTTAGAAATTTATAAATAAACCCCTCATTTGTCTTGATAGGTGACCCAAGAAAGAAGGAGGAGAATAAGAAGAGGAGAAAAATAGGAGGGAAGAGACTCCTCCTCGACCACCACCGGAGTTCCGCCCGAACTCCAAATGACACCGGAATTCTGCCCAACTTCCACGAGATACTGAAATTCTTCGCAATTAATGATAGAGTTTCCTCCTGACGCCGAAACTCCGCCCAAGAGATGCCAGAATTCTCCTCGGCCACCAACAGACGTCGAACTTCTACCAGATGCCGAACCTTCAGTCTTCGCCAAGTTTCTACCCGACGCTAGAATTCTATCGGTTATCAGACTTTCGCTGGACATCTATCCAAAGATAGATTTCTTTCCATTGTTAGACTTTTACTTGATGTCGTCCTTCTAACCTTCGTCGTCAGATAACAATCCTTTCGGCTCCGTCGCCACCCGACTGCGGTCCTCCTAACTTACGTCGCCCGCAGACTACAGTCTTTCTGACCTTCGTCGCCCGCCAACTATGATCCTCCTGACTTATGTTGCCCATCGACTACGATCATTCTGACCTCCATCGCCCGTCGACTATGGTCCTTATGACTTATGTCGCCCACCAACTACAGTCCTTCTGACCTCCATCACCAGCCGACTACTATCCTCCTGACTTACGTTGCTCGCATACTACAATTTTTCTGACCTCCGTCGCCAGACAACGGTCTTTATGACCTCCATCACCAGATTATGGTCCTCCCGATCAAACGAACACATCAATAGTGACTCTTTGTATTCACATCATGTAATGTACTCAATAAAATGTACATCAAGCTAAGACCTTCTCCCAAAGAAGGGCCTCATTTGTAATCAACTGATATGCTAGTGGATTCATTCATTCTGGGCTAGGCCCCATGGTTTTTCCCCCTTTTCAGGGGTTTTCATGTAAAAATCTTGGTGTCCCTATAATTGAAGCAGCCTCTCTTTTTATCTGTGTGCGTGTCGAATTTTCGTATAATGCTAAGATGTTAAACTTTATATTTCTCTACCACTGTGAATATTCTAGGATCCAACAGTTTGGTGCCGTCTGTAAAAATGTGATTCCCAACTGGGGGGAAAATTTTGCTCCAACCTCAAAAGGTCAATTAAGTCAACTTCTTGACATCAGTCATTGCTGCATCTATATCATAAGAATCAGATGCAGACTGGGGGACAACTTTGACTCCAACTATGGTCAAAAAGATCCTCTGATATTTTCAACATCAAGATGATATTTCAAAAAAATCCAAGCAAATGCAAGAATACTTCCAATCAATTCCAAGCTTTATACAGTCCCTTGCTAGACTTCTACTTCTTGGATAAGGTCTTAATCTCGACCTCAAAAAGGTAATAATGGTTTAAAGATAAACACTTCTTTACCTTTGATTCGAGATACACATGGCGTTCGCCTCCTCCCAATCAAAGCAAAATTAATCTCAGTGGGATTTGATTTGACCTCTTTCACACTGGTTAATGTCATCGACAAAGGCTCCGACATACAATATCGGATAGGTGTCACATCCTTGGTGGATTCTCTTGATCTCTTCCACATAGGTTAACATCGTTGAGCAAAGGCTCTGATATAACCTCAGATAGGTCTCACATCCTTACTGGATTCTCTCAATCTCTTCCATGCAGGTTAACATCATTTAGTAGGGCTCTAACATACAACCTCGGAAAGGTCTCACATCCTCGCTAGATTTTCTCGACCTCTTTCCTATAGGTTAACATCATAGAGCAAGACTTTGACATACAACCTCAGAAAGGTCTTACATCATTGCTGGATTCTTTGGACATCTTCCATATAGGTTAACATCATCGAGCAGGGATCTGATATACAACTTTGGATAGGTCTCACATTTTTGCTAGATTCTTTCGACCTCTTTCTTATAGGTTAGTGTCATCGAGTAGAACTCTGACATACAATCTCGGATAGGTCATACATTCTTAGTGAATTCTCGTAACATCTTCTATAGAGGTCAGCATCATCGAGCAATATTTTAAGTAAATATTCTCTCTAAAGAAGATCTCATAAAAGCAAAGTGATTGATAAAATTATTACTAATATAAAGACCTTAGTAGTCTAACACTGCCTCCAAAAATATTAGGGGCAATACATCAAAGTATGTCTCAAAGAAGTTATAACAATTCAACTTCATCCAAGGGATAAGTTCTTAACTTCATATACAATATCAATTGAGTTGCATAAATTCAAATTCAGATGTATATTTCTTTTTACAAGAAATTAAAATTAAAGTACAATTATATTATTTATATAAACTACTATCATCAAGTAACAAATAACTTCAAAATAGTCAAAAATTCTTAGTAGATTTAAGTGACTTCTTCTCTACTGCACACAAACATCTCTTACAACTTCTTCTTTAAAGAAATATTATAATTTGGTCTTCATTAAGCCTCAACTTAGTTGATATTATACGTGTATCGTCATACATCGGCATAGCACACTACTCCAGCCCTTTAACTCAGGGATATCTGATATCGGTACACTTCAGTATGAAGGAATATTATTTCTGTAAATTGCCACTAGACCCACGCCATCATCTGGCCTTAATCGAATTTTTTCCAGCGGTCCTTTACTTCATATCAGTCAGCATCGACTTCACACTCTACTGTTATTTGCAGCACACCCTTGAACTCTCTCCTTCAGCTCTACACTCGATCGTTGACTATTGATGGGCTTCAACTTGATCGTATATCACCGACAGACTTTCACACGAACAACATCAAAATTCTCCCCGTTTATTGGCTCTCCTCCCGAGTACTATTACTGTCAGATCTTCTCAAATCACCCTCACATACAAGCAGCAAGTGATCGTCTTCTATCAAGGATTATCTTTTTAAAAAGA